CTCTGCCCCTTGACCTCTGCCCGGAGGAAGTGAGGTCACGGCGAGGACCTTTGCTGCCCACCTTTGTGTCCACGCAGTAAGGGGGCTGGTGTCGGGGAGCAGGGAAGGGTGGGTAGACAGGCGGAGACCCAGACTTCTGGGTTAGCCAGCCTCGGTTTGGGTCCTGCCTGGGTTTGAACTCCGTCCCTGTGTGACCTTGGGACTCAGTTTGTGGACCTGTAAAATGGGGATGATGATAACAATTCTGACCTCCTGAGATGGTTGTAAGGATTCAGGGAAACAATGCAGGTTAGGTTGTTAGGACAGTGCCCAGCACTTCCCAAGCGCTACGTGAATGTAAGTTACTGGCCCTTCCTGGAGAAGCAGAATGGACCAGGGCCTGGCAGGTCACTTCGTCCTGGCCCAGAGAGAGACAGGGTGTTTCCCGTTGTCACACAGCAAGTCAGAATCACCCCGAGGCTGGGGGTGGTTGGGTGGGAGCTCAGAGACCAGGGAGTGGCCAGAGAGACCCCGCCGCGGGGAGCGGAGGGGCCAAGGGCAGTGGCTGTAGAATCGGAGCGTGGGGTCGAGCCTCTGCCCTGCTCTGTCCTGCTGGGCCTTTGGGCAAATCCCTTCACCTCCCTGAAGCTCATGTTGTTGTTGTTGTTGTTGTTCTTCTTCTTCAAAAAATATATTTCGTTGATTTTTTACAGAGAGGAAGGGAGAGGGACAGAGAGTCAGAAACATCGATGAGAGAGAAACATGAATCAGCTGCCTCCTGCACACCCCCTACCGGGGATGTGCTCGCAAACAAGGGACATGCTCCTGACCGGAATCGAACCTGGGACCTTTCAGTCCGCAGGCTGATGCTCTAGCCACTGAGCCAAACCGGTTTCGGCCTGAATCTCATGCTCTTCCTGTTACCCAGACCTCCCTCACGAGGGAATGGGTGCACTCAGTACACCTGACGGGTTGGCCGTTTACCGGCAGCCGGGGATGGGGAGGCCTGGCGATCACAGCGGTGAATTGTCCGCATGGCGCGCTTCTGCGGTGAAGAGGGAGGCAGACAAGAGGGAGGCAGCAGATAAGACAACGGGACGAGCTCTGAGGACAGCGGAGGGATGGTGGTGTTGGATGGGGGAGGCTAGTCAGACATTGGACGGCGTGGCCAGGGGGCTTCTCTGAGGAGGTGACACTGGAGATAAGTTCCCAGGGGAAGCTCTGGGCAAAGCATTCCCCAGGGAGAGGGCACAGCGAGGGCCGAGGTCCCAGGGCCCTCGTGTGCTGGACGTGTTCGCGAGGGGCAGCAAGGGGCCGGCTGGCTGGAGGCTGTGGGCAGGGGCAGGAGCTGGGATGTCAGCGGGCACCGGGTCACGCACCCCTGTGGGTTAAAGGGGCTGGGTGTTCAGTGGGTGGGAGCCTTTCAGCTGGGATCCCCCTGGCTGGGGTGGAGGGGGGAGGTGGCGAGGGGCAGGAGTGGCCGAGGGAGGAGGCTGTTGAATTGTGAAGCCTGGAGGGGCGGCCAGGGGGTGAGGAGGGGAGTGAGATAATGTCATCGCCTCCTCCCGCCTGGCCCGGTGCGGGCCTGGGACCAGAACTGGGCCGCGAGGAGGGGTCTCATCCAGCTGCATCTCGGGCCTTGGGGCTCGGGCTCGGGGCTTGGAGGGAGGGGCGTGGATGCTGAAGACCGGCAGGCTCTGGGGAAAACCTGGCCTGGGTGGGTGGGGTCTTTCTCTCTCTCTCCCCCCCCCCCCCCTCTTTTTCTGAGAACTGCTGCTGCTATTACTCCCCAAAGACTTTACATAATTCTGGCTCGGCTCCCTCCTCATTATGTCATGCGCCCAGCGGAGTCTCGGCCAGTCCGCGGCTGCTGCGGTTGGGGGAGAGCAGACTTCTGGCTCCTCTGGCCCGGCGGCCGGCACAGACCCTTCCCACACTGGGGTGGGGGCGGCCCGGCTTCTCGGGGTGGGGGTGGGGGGGTGGAGGGCAGTCCAGCCCCAGTCCCAGGCCCTTCGGATGCTCCTGCAAAGGCTAGGGCTGTTGGTTGGGGGTTGGGGGTTGGGGATTGGGGGGGTCTGTGGCTGGTGTGTGTGGGGGGAGGGCTGTGCTGGGAGCTAGGCTCCCTGAGCCGGGGTCCTCCCCTGGAGCTCAGGCCCTGCAGACGGAGGCCGGCAGACCTGGAGCCAGCCCTCCCTGCTGGGTTACTTCTGCTCTGCCAGTTCCCTCCACAGGAGTCCTCAGGCCGGTGGGGACCTGGGACTTCAGATGGGGCAGCAGCGGGAGCTGTCTGTTTCCCTGGGGGGAGTTGCTCAGGGTTGTCTGCGCCCCAATCTCTGCCTCTGTCCCAGAGCCGCCCCCACCCCCCCACTCAGAGAGCCAGGGTAGGGTGGAGCCCCACCTTGCACAGGGAAGGAAACAGAGGCCCGCAGGGAGGGGTGGCAGTCACGCAGCCCCGGAGTGCAAGCAGGAAAGGGAATCGGACCCCAGAAGTCCCAGCCCGAGGCCTTGTCTGATGTGTGGGGTGCCGGTGACCCCCCTCTCTCCCCCCTCCTCTCCACCGAGGGTGCAGAGGAAGTTCAGGTCGGAGGCAGGCTGTGGTCCACCTGACTTTTCTTTAAAAAAAAAAAAAAAAAAAAAAAAAAAAAATATATATATATATATATATATATATATATATATTTTATTGATTTTTACAGAGAAGAAGGGAGAGGGATAGAGATTTTAGAAACATTGATGAGAGAGAAACATGGATCAGCTGCCTCCTGCACGCTTCCTCCTGGGGATGTGCCCACAACCAAGGTACATGCCCTTGACCGGAATCGAACCCGGGACCTTTCAGTCCGCAGGCCGACGCTCTATCCACTGAGCCAAACCGGCTTCAGCCACCCTGACTTTTCACAATGCGTGTATATCTTCTTTTGGGAAAACACTTCCGTTTTGCGGTTATGAGGACACTCGGACAGCAGGTGCCGAGTGCCCCCCGCCCCATGTCCCCCTGAGGACAGGCGCCAGGCCCTTTGCAGCATCGTTCTGTGTCGTCCTCCTAGTAGCTATGAAGGATCAGAGGTGATTCCTCCCATTTTACAGGTGCGGAAACTGAGGCCCAAGGTCATACACCTGGGCCAGGGGTTTAGACTCAGGCCTGTGCTCTCCAGAGCGCTCACCCTCCCTGACGCACACGCTGCCTCCTTCCGAAGCTGCTGGGATCGCAGACCCTCCTGGCCCCACAGCCCATCCGCAGGGGGCTGAGCCGGGAGGGAGGCAGAGAGCGCGCCCAGGGCTGCTGGCATGTTTGGGGCTGGGTCCCAGGGACCGAGCTTCCCGGGAGAGGTACGGGGCGTTGGAATTGGGGGCTCAGCGAGGGCCTGTGACCCCTATCTCTGTGTCGGCGAATGCTGTTGACTCGGTGTTTACTAGGGATGGGGGAAGGTGGAGAGAAGAATGTGCCCTCCCCCTTGTTTCTAGGATTACTAAATTCTTGTTAGATCTTTAAATTTTATGTAAATTCTTCTTCTTTTTTTTTTTTTCCCATGGAAAGGTGGGGTATCATATTTTAATTAGTAGTGGTGTCAAAGGAGGGCTAGATTAATTATTGGAAATCCTGCTTTCCAGATGGTTTTCATTTTCTCAGCAGGGCACCAGGGTATATATTTTTAATTTTTTTTAATTAAAATCATACCTCGTGTATTTTAGGGCCACCGAGGTCCGCTCTTTGTGGCTCCAAGGATGCCGTATGGAGGGCTATGATTTTTGTTACGGAGAAGCAAGTCCCCTGTCACCGAAATTAAAGTTTTGTGGCTGAGGGAGGGGCAGGTGCCAGGAAGCACCGGGTCAGAGATGGGAGGGTGAGAACGGGAGGGTCACAGGCAGGGAAGGCGAGGAGGGGGCGGCCGGCCGGGGATTCGGACCGGAGAGGAGAGAGCGCTCAGAGAGAGTCCGTGGCCTATCCACGTCACACAAGACCCCACGAGGGCCAGGGGAGGTCTGGACACAGCAAGCCTCACAGGGGCAGGGAGCCTGTGACCTTCAGGGCTTTGGAGGGTCAGTTCTGGAGACCCCCACCGTGCGGAGCATGGGTAGTTTAGGGTGCGGTCTCCTACCCAGGCCCGGGGGCCATTGGTCTGATTGGGCCGTCGGGCTCCTGGGAGTTAGGTGCTGGCCTTGATGGAGGAAAGGGGAGTTCTGCAGAGGGCTTCCCTCCCCGGACCTCCTCCCACCTCAAGTGGCAAAGGCACGGGGGCTGGAGGGGACCCCAACATGTCTTCCGGATGTTTTCCCTGGAGGAAGGAGCCTCTGACATCCCCCAGGGGAGGATGTGTGCATGCGTGTGCAGGGCATATGCAGGGCATGTGCATGCGTGTACAATGGGTGCAGGAGCGTGTGTGTGCCGTGAGAACTCACGTGCATTTGTCTGTGCCCTTATCCCAGAGCCTGCTACCTCTGACGTGCGGGGTCATTTGTACAGCTCTCTGCCCTGCTCTGGGGAATGGAGCTGAGGGGCTGGGGAGCTGGGTGGTGAGGGGAGAAGGCACCCTGGTATTCGGCCACCGGAGCAGGACACCCCACTGGCTGGAGCCACCTGGGCCCCAAGTGGAGTCAAGAGAGGTGGGGGAGGGGTTCGGGGGTTGGGGAACAGGTGGGGACCAGCTCCCTCTCTCTGCCTGAAGGATGCTCTAGGGCAGTGTTTCCCAAACTTTTGCCATATGTGTACCCCTTCTATAATTTTCGTAATGCTGAGCACCTCTCGCACTCATGAGAACGTAGAATTAGGCGCAGCTAAGCACGGTGCAGTGCATATCCCCACCAAACTCCAGTGCGTACCCCCCCCCCCCCAAACTCTTCCCGTGCCCCTGAGGGGAAACACTGCTCTAGGGTGTCCTGGCAGAGGCCTCTCCCAGGCCTGGGTTCAGGGGTATGAGTGGGGGACCAGGACAGGCTCAGGGGTCCTGCCGCCGAGTCTTCAGGCCGTGCCTGTGCCTGGGTAAAAAAGCGTGTCTCTCTTCTGCTTCTGCCTCCCGAAGCCCAGCTCCTAGTGGAGACCGACACCTTCGGCAGTCAAGTCCGGATCAAGGGCAAGGAGACGGAGTTCTACCTGTGCATGAACCGGAAGGGCAAGCTGGTGGGCAAGGTGAGTGGCGGCCGGCGGCCGGGAACTCGGGGCACGGGGGCGGGCCCTCCCCGGCAGCCCTGGGGCCGTGGTGCCCGAGGGAGGCAGGCCCGGGGAGGATGGGGGAGACTCCCACGGCCACCCCTCCTGCCCCCTCCTCTCCGCACCCCTCACACAGTGTCCACGGCTGGGGCTTCGGAGAGAACCAGGGCCCTGATCGCTCCGGGGGAGGGGGAGCTCTGGCTGGCTCAGAGGGGGTGCGTCCCCTCTGGAGGGGGCTCTGGGGCCCCCGCCGCCCTCGGTACCTGCTGCCTGGGGCAGGGCCGCGGCCGCGGGCGGGGCTGAGCGATGGTTAACAATCGCCAGGCTCCGGAACCCAGCTGCCGCGTCAGCGCCGGGCTCACGGTTCTAGCGTTTCAGGCAGATTTTATTACGTTGGAACGGGCGAGGGAGCTGCATGTAACAAATTAGGGCCGGGGTGGGGGTGCGGCGGGCAGGCCCACGTGCCAGGCCACTGAGCCTCCGCCGAGGAGGCAGGTCTCGGCGTGCCCCCTCTCTCCGGCCACGCTGGCCGGGGCCACGCACGCTCTCGCTGCCGGTGGGCGCCGCGGGGGCTGGGGCGGGCAGGACCTCTGTGTGGGGTCGCGCCTGCGTCCCCTGCTTTCTGGACCCTCCTTATCCCGGTGCCCAGCTTGGATAACGGGGGGGTGGGGAGGTTGGGGGGCGGGAGGGTCGTCTCCTGCAGGTGGAGTGGGGGTGCGGTGGAGAGTGGACCCAGATGCCAGGGAGGATGGGGTCCCCTGCTCGTGGGCAGGGCCCCGGCTGATGACTTACGTTCATTGCACCCAGCTGGGGGTCTCCCATGTCTTGTCTCAGCCACGTGTTTAGTTATTTTAAAAACCTTTATTGTTGAAAGTATCACATGTGTCTTCCCCTCCCCTCCATGGACTCCTTCTAGCCCACCCCTCCCCTAAGCCATGTGTTTTTTAAAAAATATATATTTTATTGATTTTGTACAGAGAGGAAGGGAGAGAGATAGAGAGTTAGAAACATCGATGAGAGAGAGTCATCGATCAGCTGCCTCTTGCACACCCCCTACTGGGAATGTGCCCACAATCAAGGTACATGCCCTTGACCGGAATCGAACCCGGGACCCTTCAGTCCCCAAGCCGACGCTCTATCCATTGAGCCAAAAAACGGTTCCGGCTGTTTTTATTTCGTTTCCTGAGTCTCCCAACTCATCCCTCTTGCTGTCACCGTACCCAAGCGGCCGGGGCCAGGCCTGGTGCTTGTGGTTAACAGCGGCGGTGCCACCAGCGCCGTTAACTGAGCACCTGCTTTCTGCCGGGCACCAAGCAAATGCCCCCGCATGGTCCCGCCATCCCCGCCCGCAGGTGCACAGGGGCCCCTCGCTAGAGCTGGGCGGGATGCGGAGCCCTGTCGGGAGGCAAAGGTTCCAGCCGTGCGGCCCACACCAGCGACAGCTCCTCCAGGGCAGACAGAGTAGCAGGAATTGGCTCTGGACACCCAGTGGCTTCAGTCAGTGACTCACTGTCCATGTGTCCGGGGGCCGGAGGCCGGGGAGCGAGGGGGCCAGGGCCGGGGAGGCGGCGGCTGCCCACGCCAGGTGCTTTGTCCTCCGCCCGCCCCACAGCCGCTCCAGGCCAGAGGCTCTCCTTCTTCTTTCCCTCCTGGAAGGAGGGGTGCGGGCCGCCTGCTGTGCCCAGGGCCTGCGCCCCCTCCCTCCCTCCTTCCCGGCTGCGCAGTTCCCGGCATCTTGACCCCGGGAGGGCCCTCGTGGGTCAAAAGAGCAGCCCCGTCCCCTCGGGCCGTCCCGCCGCCCTCGCCCGCTGGCTGCTGAGTCACCACTTCCACGGGCTGCTCCGGTTTCCCGCCCCTCTCCCTCTCCCCGCCATTAATATCGGGGACGGTTCAGCTGGAGGCGAGGCGAGCCCAGCCGGTCCAGGAGGCCTGCCCCTCGCTGGGGTCCCCCATCACCCCCTTCCAGGCTTCTGTCTTCTGGGCTGGCCTGGGGGGCTCCCATGGCGCCCCCAAACCCACCTGTCCGCACTTTGCCAGGGGCAGGTCCCCTGATGGCCTCGGCTCAGACAGGCACCCCTCACTCCCTCAGGCCCCCTGTCCAGCCAGTCCTCAGGCCTGCACCCCCCCTTCTCTAGCTCGCCCCTGGCCCAGCCTCAGACCTCACAGGGGTCATCGCCCAGCTCTCCCAAGGGTCCCCGTTCAGGCTGCAGCACCAGGCCTGTCCCCATGGTCCCCCTCAGCTTTCTGAAGCACCAGGGGTCAATGTCCCCTGCCCCACAGCCCAGCCCAGTTCAGAATCTGTCCCCTGCCCTCACCGCCAGCTGGAGAGCGAGGCTCCCAGGCCTCAGTCACACGCTGCGGACAGGGCTCTGCCAGCCTACACCCCTGCGGGCTCGGTACACGCGGTCCCCTCTCCTGGGCTGCTTTTCCCTCTGCCCTCTGCCCTCTGCCCTCTGCCCTGGGTCCTCGCTCATCCCCAGCAGCCTCTAGCTTCGCTGACCCCTCAGTCACCCGAATGGGAGCCCACAGGCCTCTGTTGCTTATCTGCTCGCCTGGGGGTGACCTTAGGCCTACCCTCTGCCGAGGGCCGTTCTGGATCCTCCCCTCTGGGATCCATTCACCTGCCCCAGAGTCTGCAAGGGCACCAGAGACATGGAAATGTGCTCATTGCTTTCTGAGGATTCACTCTTGCCCTGAAGCCAGACTTACCCACGTCTGGCCCAGGAGTCCACACGCCCGGGCCTCGCTGAGCCTCAGTGCCCTCACCTGGGGAGTGGGAAGGATGATGCCGGCACGTAGAGGCACTGACTTATTACACGTCAGTTCCCTTCCACCCAATCACCCCTTCCCCCGTGGGCGCCCTTGGCCGCGGCCTGGGCTCCGGCTCCTTGGCGGTGGCTCTGCAGGACAGCGTTCACAGGCGGTCTGACCCTGGGGGCCGGCCTGGCCACAGCCGGGCACATCACTGAGCCCCTCACACAGGCCTTGGCTGTAGCTGCTCTCTCTGCTGTCTCGCACCAGACATGTGCCCGAGCCCTGCCCGGGCCCCTGCCTGCCCCGGCGGCCCCTCCCCCTCCTCTGCACCCCACATCCATCTGGCCCAGGAGGTCTGCTCCCTTTCATTCCACAAATAGTTGTTGAGCGTGGGGCGTTATGTGCTAGGCTTTCCCCCTCTCTGGAGACAGAGGAGGAAAAAAGGTGTGTTTTTTTTCCTCATCTGTCCCCTCCCGTGTGCTCACTCTTTGGAGGTAGCTTAGGGCCCAGTCTGGGGGAGGAGGGCGTGGGAGGAGGGTCCCTGCCCACCAGCACATCCCCGTGAAGATTGCTTTGGTTGTGACTGAAACCCAATTCACACCACCTTTAGCGAAAAGAGGAAAGTTCTGCCGAGACCGGTTTGGTTCAATGGATAGAGCGTCGGCTTGGGAATTGAAAGGTCCCGGGTTCGATTCCGGTCAAGGGCATGTACCTTGGTTGCGGGCATATCCCCAGTAGGGGTGTGCAAGAGGCGGCTGATCGATGACTCTCTCTCATCGATGTTTCTAACTCTCTATCTCTCTCCCTCTCTGTACAAAATCAATAAAATATATTAAAAAAAAAAAAGAAGAAAAAAAAAGAGAGGAAAGGTCTGCCCGTGTAACTGAGAATATCCAGAGGGTTGTTCTGGTTCCACATAAGTCCGGATCTGGGGGCCAGATGATGTCATCAGGATCCAGTCTTCCCATCAGATGGGAGGCACAGGACTCTGGTTTGGGTGGCAGGAGGCTGGAGGTGGCAGGGGGGCGGGGAGGGAGATGACCAAGTTCCAGATCCCCGAGGCTCTGGCATGAGAGAGTCAGCCTGCCGCTGTGCCTCGTCCGAGCCAGTGGAGCCAGCGCTGCCGGGCTGAGCCCAGCCACGGGGTCTCTGACCTTCGGCAGGCAACAGCGGGGTCACAGAGGTCACCGGGAGCAGGGGCCAGGCCAGCCCAGGTGCGGCCGCGTGGGCATCTTACCGTCTGTGTCTGAGTTCCCCGTGGGGAACAGGTGACCGCCACAGGCTCCATGGCTGCTCCCAGGGGCTCCCACATTCGGGGGTGTTGAGAATTTTAGCCCAAAGCCCAGCTCCCCAACCCTCTCAGCAAACCCAGGCGTGCGTGAGGGCCTGTGCCAGGCGCGGTGCCGGGCCTTGCACACCCTAGAGCTCGCTTCATGCTGCTGTGACTGTGTGGGGAGGTGTTTTGATGGCAGTGCCCAGGCTGCCATTTATAAGTGCCACGACCTGAGAGAAGCCCTTTTGCCTCTTTGACCTGTTTCCTCCTACCACATAGAGTCTGACTCGGTGGGTGAAGGGGATTCAATGGAATAATGGGTGGGGAGCTATCTGGCCTGTGGCTGAGCAGATGAGGAGGGAGATGGGTGGGCCAGGCAGAGCGCCCCGCTCCTCTGCCGGCTCCATCCCCTTCCCGGCACATGCCCAGGAGGGGTCTTTCCGAGCTCATGGCGATCTGGGGGACGTTAGTAAAGGGTCCAGGAGGCATCGCTCCCACCATCTCTACCCCAGCAGAACTCCATCCATCCAGCCACGGGAGCTCTGGGCGGCCCTGTCCAGGGTTAAGGCCTGTGCTGAGCCATGAGGATGGCCGAGCAGCAGCCCCGCCTTCCTGACGCTCTTGGGCTGATGGGCAGGCAGATAGGGAATCGCTCTGTTGTGGGTGGGAGGTGGGAGGAGAAATGGGTGCCAAGGCGGGTCTAGACGATGGGAGCACATGAATCCCATACAGCGTGGTGCTTGAACGGAATCTCGAGGGAAGAGGCAGAGACACCCAGGGAGGAAGGTGGCAGTCAGGGAAGGCTCCCTGGAAGAGGCGGCTGCTGAACTGAGCTGTGAGAAACGCAAGCCCTTTTCCAGGCAGGCTTTCTAGGGTGGGGAAGCCGCGTGGCGTGGCTTTTGTTCATGTGCTCCGACTGTTCCATCGAGACCGGCCAAGGGACCTGGGCTCAGGTCGGATAGGCGGCTTCCAGAATTATTCACGGGGGACTCCGAGCCCAGAGACCACTCCCATCTCCCCCCCTCCCTCCACCCCCTCATACACATGCTCGGGCTCCCCGCCCTGCTCAGCCCACCCTCCGGTCTCCAGGGTCCTGCGTGCGTCTCCCCGCCCCTGCCTGCCTGCTCGCCGCCGCCTCCTCCTCCTCCTCGAAAGATCTCGCCCTCCGGAGAATGTTTTCTTGCCCTGCCTGTCCCTTTCTGCAAAGTTCAGCACTTTGTGGCGCCCAGGCGTGCCCTCCGCTCAAAGGTGAACGTTCCTGGAAGCCCGGCCTGTTTTCCACTTCAAACAAAAGGCTGGAACTCGCACCTCCGTCTCCGCGCTCGGCCAGACCGCTGGGCTTCCAACTTGGCCCGGCGTCCGTCCGTAACGAGGAGTGGGCCCGGCCTGAGCTTGGAGATGTTCGCTGGAAACTCCGGCTGCTAATTCGGGCCTTCCAGCTCCGTGCGTTTCCCCCGGCAGCGCCTCGGCCGTCTGGGGTGGAGCCTCGGAGCCTGCCGCCCACCCCTTCTGTCCAGACCGGGCCCGAGGAGGGCAGCCAGGCCGTCGAACCGCCGTGGCCTCCAGCCATAAGCTAGCAGGGCCCTACGGTGCGCCGGGCTCCCAGGAGGACCGCGCCCTGCCTGTCTGTGACACGGGGGCCCAGTGTGCTGAGGCCAGGAAGCCGAGGGGCAGCGTGGAGTGAACCGGCCTGAGGCCACACCAGGGAGCCTGAGAGCTGACTCGGCTCCTGAGTCCGACGCTCGTGCTGCCCGCCCTGCACGGCCTCCCGCTCGGGAGCCACGAGTCTCGGAAGCAAGGGCCCAGGCTCCGGAGTCTGGCCCCGCCAAAGCTCTGGTTCTGGGCGGCTCTTTCCACCCTCGGTGGACCCGCAGCACAGCCCACGTTAGATGTGACTGATCTTCCACGGGGACAGTGGCGTGGAGGGGCCGTCGAGTCACTGACTTCATGTCAGGTTTCCTGCCGGGACTCCTCCCTCCGGCAGGCGCCGGGACACGGTCTCAGCCGGTTCGGAGGGGTGCCCCTGGCCCACCCAGCCGGGGTCACCGAGTGTCAGGTGCAGCCTGGTCCGGGAGCTCCCAGAGGCGGCCTGGGCGTGGCTTCCCTCGTTCCCTTCCTCCGGATGTGGCTGCCTCCGTGCTGGCTTTGCTGTCCGACGGCATTTCCCCTCGTGGCGGCCAAATGGCTGCCTTCGCTTGTCCCCCTATGTGTTTGGCCATTGCTCACGCAGGGGTCTGGAGGAACACTGCCTGCATGGCTGGCGGTGCCACACGGCCAGCCCTGCCCCCGTCCCGGGAAGCCATGGTTTGGTGGGCTACGTCTGGGTTTCTCGTTCTCACAGAGTGGGGGTGGGGCCCCCTCGCTGCGGGGCAGAGAGCAGGGGAGGGAGGGATGGCTGGAGTTCTGGGTGACCACGGGAGTCTGTTGCGTAATTATAACAAGGGCCAATGCCTCACGGGCACTTCACAGACCCAGGGAGTGAAATGGCTGAGGCCAAAGCTTGGCTTGAGGCCCCCCTCTCCTGCGCTGCCCCTCGCACCCGCCCTGCCGTTCTCACCTGCCCCTCCTCTCTCCCCCTGCAGCCCGACGGCACCAGCAAGGAGTGCGTGTTCATCGAGAAGGTCCTGGAGAACAACTACACGGCCCTGATGTCGGCCAAGTACTCGGGCTGGTACGTGGGCTTCACCAAGAAGGGGCGGCCGCGGAAGGGCCCCAAGACCCGGGAGAACCAGCAGGACGTGCACTTCATGAAGCGCTACCCCAAGGGGCAGGCGGAGCTGCAGAAGCCCTTCAAGTACACCACGGTGACCAAGCGGTCCCGGCGGATCCGCCCCACGCACCCCGGCTAGGCGGCCGCCCTCCGGCCGCGCCCACGGCCGCGAGGACTGCGTCAGAGGAATATTTTTACACGACACAGAAGGAAGAAGCTCTATTTTTGTACATTGTGTTTCCAAGAAGACAAAAACTGAACCAAAACTCTCGGGGTTGCGGGGGGAGGGGGAAGGAAGGGGGGACGATACGGACTTCACGGTTGACTTGAAACCCCCGATGACAGAGACTCATGTCACGCAAAAGGGACTGATTTTGTCAACGCACAGGTGCTTGTGTCTCTCTCGGAACAGACAACTCTCAACGCGTCCCCGGAGGAGGAGGACTTGAACGAGGAAAACGACACTCGGAGAAACCAAAGTCCTTTTTCCCAAAGGTTCTGAAAGCAAAAGCAAAAGAAGCAAAAAAAACCCCACAAAACAAACAAAAAAAAAAAACAAGAAAAGAAAAAAGAAAAAAAAAAAACAAGTAGTAAACCGTTCCCACCTCCTCTCCCCTCGCCAAGGAACGCCCCCTTCTTTTCCACTCTCCTGTCCTCCCCCCAGACTCCAACAAAAATCGCTCTCTGGTTTGCAGTCATTTATTTATTGTCCGCTGCAAGCTGTCCCGAGACACCGCGCAGGGAAGGCGTGCCCCCTCGGAATTCTCGGCGCCTCGACCTCCGACGACAGACGGCCCCGTCCAATCACGGTGACCCTGCCTCGCTCGCAGCCTGCAGGATGCTGCTATCGACCTTCCGTGACTCACGTGACCTAGCACACCAATGATAAGGGAATATTTTAAAACCAGCTATATTATATATATTATATATATATATAAGCTATTTATTTCACCTCTCTGTATATTGCAGTTTCATGAACCAAGTATTACTGCCTCAACCATTAAAAACAATCGACAAATTATTTAAAAAATCCACAAGGCATTGAGTGGTGGCCGGGTGGGAGGGGTGGGGTGGGGGAGGGTCAGGGCAGCCCTATTGTGTGTCATTCTTCTTGGTCTGTGGTCTTTGCACTGAGAGCTGGGGCCTTGCTCGCTCATTCATTCATTCATTCATTCAATCCATTCACACACTCTCTCACTCATGGATTCATCCAATACTTGCTGTGTTCCCGGCACAGAGGATGCAGCCTTAAACATAGCAGGTGGCCATCCTGGCCTCCAGGGAGATTACCTTCTAAGGAGCCCTTGGTTCGATGATTGACTCAGCTGTACGGTCGCACGCATAGACTCTCACACCATTTCCTCAGCATCTCCTACATGCCAAGGCTCTATTCGAGGCCCTGGGGTTGATCAAAGAACGCAAGAAAAATAGCCCCGCCACCCCTCCCCCCCTTGTTATATCCATTGCTTCATTCATTGATCTCTGGCAGCAGTCGGCAAACCGCGGCTTGCGAGCCACATGCGGCTCTTTGGCCCCTTGAGTGCGGCTCTCCCACAAAACACCACGGCCTGGGCGAGTCTATGTTGAAGAAGTGGCGTTCGGAGAAGTTTGAGTTTAAAAAATATGGCTCTCCAAAGAAATGTCAATCGTTGTCCTGTTGATACTTGGCTCTGCTGGCTCGTGAGTTTGCCAACCACTGCCTTAGGGTGTCAGGGGCTCAGTCTCATCGTGACCTCAGGCCAGCCCGTGAGGAAGGGCCTATCGTTATTCCGGTTTCAGAGATGGCACTGAACTCAGAAATGTTAAGTTGCTTCCCCAAGTTCGCAGAATAAGAAAGTGATGGGGCCGGTATCCCGGTCCCAGACTCTCCAGGACGGTGGGTGCCACTTAGTGCCTACTGGGTGTCAGCCCCTGCTGGGTGCCTCGCACGCATGCCTGGGCGCCCACCAAGCACCCCTGTGTGGGACCCAGGGCCTCCCGACCGCCACATCTGGCAGGTGACACATGGGCTCAGAGAGGTCACTGCGGTGCCTGGGACTCAGGGAGCGGGCGCCTGAGCCTGAGCCCCTGGGTGGTGATGACAGCGATGGCGGCGGTGGTGATGGAGCACCCAGTGTGTGTTAGCTCCGTCCACATTCTGTTAATCTCATTTAAACAGTGACCCCGGGCGATGGGTGTCTGCTCCGTTTGGAAGTTTTGGTGGAGTGAAATGACCTGCCCAAAAAATTCAGGTTGGAAAATGGTGGATCCAGAATTCCATCAATCATTCGTTCATTCACTCATTTGTTCATTCATCCATCCATCCATCCATCCATCCAATGGATGTGTTGAGTTGACTCTGTGCCATGTGCTCTTCCAGGGGTTGAAGGTACAGCAGTGACCTGAGCAGAGCCTCTGCCCTTGCGGACATATACATTCTTGGGAAAGAGCAATAATACACCAAATAGTTGTAGAATACAAGGTCAAGTAGCAGTGACTCATAGGAAAAATAAAATAGGATGGGGGGTAGAGGATAATGGGGCTCCTATTTTAGATCGGTGGTCAGGCGAGGCCTCTGGAGGGGGGCCCATGCCAACACTGAGGGGAAGAGCGTTCCAGGCAGAGGGAACAGAGAGTGCTAAGGCCTGGTGGTCTGCCATGGAACAAGGAGGGACCGGTGGGGCTACTGCAGAGTGAACAGGGGCGGGAACAGAGCTTTTGAGGGTCTCGGAGCATGCCCAGAGCTCTTTATTGGAGTGAATCAGATGCCACATGTGATACCCCTTAAAGGGATGGCTCTGGTAGCGGGATGGAGAAGGGCGGGCAGCGTCCAGCCTGGGGCTGCCTGGTGTGAGGTCATACCTGGGCTCTCACCCAGCACCACCGCCTGCCCCCGTCCCCTGTGCATCCTGGGGCCTTCTCCGCCTCCATTCTCTGTCCACAGGCAGCTGGCACCTCCCATACCCAACACCTTGCCCTCGGTCCCCCAGGGGCCAGGGGCCCGTGGTATTTCCCGTTTTCACCCCTCGAGACACTTCCGGGCTTTGGAAGACGTGGGACCAACTTGTGTTCACTTTGGACCGAGCTTCCTGGCCACTTCTGGGGCCATGAGCAGCCTGTGGGTGATCCGCACAGTGGGCTGGCGGATGTCTTCTTAGGACACGTGCTTGAGGGAGGAGCCTGTGAGCGTTTCCACGGCCGAGCTGAGGAGGGAACCCCGGTCATAACCCACCACGTTGGGAGCCTGTACCAAGCACCGTCTTACCGAATCCTCCACCAGCCTTTGGGGCGGGCATTTCAAGCCCGCCTTCTAAGGCAGGCTCAGAGCAGTGGAGTCTCCTGCCTGAGGCCACACAGCTAGGAAACAGAGGAGCTGGGGTGTGGACCCAGTTTGCCTGTCCCTAGTGCTGTGGCTTAGCCTCAGCTCGGATGCTTGGAGCTCTCAGCCTCTTGTCCAGGGCTTTGCTCTTCCCCCTCAGTTCCCTGGACCTGCCTGGGTGGCCATCGTCTCCCAAGCCACCAGAGGGAGGAGGCAGGGAGTCCCGTTCCCAGGGGCCTAATGATACCCCTCTCCCCTCTAAACCCCCCTCCCCCCTCTCCCGCCAGGATGTCAGTGTCAGTGTCACAAGGGTGTGGGGATCCGGGACGAAGGCCCCTGAATCTGTTTTGGGCTTGGCCCCTTTGCCAGCTGTGTGACCTCGGATGCGTCCTATCTTTCCTGTGCGGTGTTTCTCACCAACCAATTGTCTCGCCTTATGGGCCGATGCTGCTCCAGAGAGACAGCAGAGCAAATACCTGGGGATTATTCCTGCCCAGCAAGAGCTGGAAGCGATGTGTGTGGTGTTTCATCCACTCAGCCTTCTCCCTCCTTCTCCCTTCCCCCTCATCCCTCAGGAAGGGAGCCACAAGGCCCAGAGGAGAGCCGTGACTTGCTCCCGGCTCCCTGTGCGTTAGTGAAAGAGCCCGTTAGATGACCCATGAGTAGTGATGACAGCGATATGACCAGCAGGGGAAGTGGAAAAGGAGGCCAGTCAGGGTTCTTCCAGGATGTTCAGGGTCATGGAGCCACTTCAGGGACCAGCCAGGTCCCTCTTAGCATCCTTCCCAAGTCTGCTTCTCTGACTCAAAGACGCGGACGGCAGCGAGGAGAGGGCTGAGGTGCCTTTGTCCAGGCCCTCACCCTCTCCCCTCCACCCCCCACCCCACAGCGATGCCATGGGAACGAGCGCCAGAAATGAGGAAAGACGGGCTCCTGCCCTAGCGTTTCAAGGGGTCCCGCAGGCCAGAATGGGGAGACCGGCCCCTGCATGAGGGAGACATTTGAGTTCGGGCGGGTGGGGAGGACATGACAGTGACGAGAGGGGGTGCCTCAGGTATTCCTGCCAAGCAGGTGAGCTGTGGGGATGCATGGGGGAAGCCAGGCTTTGTACAGGGAGGTGCCCTGGGGCTGCGTGCCCAGCTGGAGCCTAACAAGGCTGGCCTGGGATGCCCGGGGCTTGAAAGCCCCATAAACGGGCAGAACCCTCCCTCTGCAGCCAGCCAGCCTGCGGGATTGGGCTTCCAAAGGAACAATGGTGAATTAGGTGTTAAAGATGTGAAGGCTGCTCCCCAACATGCAATTAGGTAGCAGGTCTGTTACAGACATTAGGCGGGGAGTTGGGGACCAGATGGCGGCCGGCTCACCCTGGCAGTCCCGTCCCAGGACCGCCTGGCTTCCTGGCGGAGGCTCTGGGCTCTGGCGAGGAGGCGGCAGGTAGGCCGGTGCACGGCCCCCTGCAGAGCGGGCCGGTAATTAGCCAGGCATTCCTCCCCTCCCTCGGGTGGCTCGTGACCTAATTAGCACTTGCTAGAGTTTCTGCCCAGCCCCTCTGGCGAGTGGAGGGAGCCGCTCCTGCAATGAGGCACCTCCCCGGCTGACCACTCTGCAGCTGCAGGCCTGTGTCACCCTCTGGGGCTGGTCCGAGGCGCTGGCTGATTGGAAGTGTCATAGGCTTACCTCGGAGCTCCTTGTCTTCTGCTGAGCACTGGCATTGTGTGGGCATCTCAGCCAATTCTCTCCTAGAATGCTCACCACCACCCTCTGCCATAGCTATGCTTATCTGTCCCACCAAGGAGGAAACAGAGGCTCGGAGGAGGAGGTCACCAGCTCAGGTTTATCTGTCTGGCTCCCCACGTCCTGCCCCTGACCCTTACACCTCAGAGCAGCCCCCTCACCCCCCAGGGAGCTGGGCAAACCGTGGTGCACAAGGACAGAGGATCAGAGAAGCAAGGAGACAGGCTCCAAGCCACTCAGGTACTGACGAGGGAAGCCAGGATTTGAAACGAGGTCTGTCGGGTTCTGGAATCTTCTCTCGTAGCACTCCTCCTCACCCTCCGCTTCTGTTCCTGTGCTATTCCGGATTCTTCGGACTGCGAGGGGCTGATATGCGTGAACACTGACTTAAGCCGATAAGGAAGTTTTCTCGAATGACAATATTCAGGATTTGGAAAAGGCATTCCGGGACACGCCTGGCTGGGCGAGGGTGGTCTGCACTGTCACTTCATACCCGGTTCCTTGGGGATAAAAGCAATGAACCTGGCGGTCTCTATGTCCATGAGTCTTATTGAGGAATCAGCGAATAATCCTCTGTCCCAAGGGGCCCAGTGGGCAAGGATTGTACAAAGGGGGAGTCCCAGAGGGCTTCCTGGAGGAAGAGTCATGGAAGCTGAGACCTGATAGAAGGTGGAAGCAGGAACAGCCAGAGGTGGGAAGGGGTGAAGCGCTGTACGTAGAAGCAGCAGCAGTTGCAAAAACTGGCCGGGAGAGCACATGTCCTGTAGAAAAACACAGGGGGTGAGTTCTGATGTCAGGAGAGGAGCGGCAACTTGTTTGGCAAAAGTGGGGGAGGGGATGTTACTTGAGTTTCTGTTTTGCTAGGGAGGCCGGGCTGCTTTTGGGCCTGGTGTGGTTCCGTCCTCATCAGCTTTCACCTTCTGGTTTCAGCAGCCTTTGAGGGTCATGGCTGCCTCGGTGGTTCCCAGCCAGGTGATTTTGTCCCCTGGGGACACGGCAGTGTGTGGAGATATCCCTTGGTTGACACAGCCGAGGTTCCACTGTGACTTCCAGTCCACGGATGCTGCCAGACCACTTACCCTGTACAGCAAGCGTGTCAAACTCAAAGGCTGACACGGGCCAAATAAAAAAGGTTGAAGTGTAGATGGACCGCAGGAAAACACACGCTTCCATTTCCATAGAAACGTAGGTTTATTTCAATAAAGACATGCCGAATACAAAGGCTGAAATAAATGAGTCATCGTTAACATAAAATAATAGAACATTCTAATAAAAATTTTTTGACGTTTACAGTGATTACATTTATCTAAGCAACATACATACATAATCAGTTTTAAGATGTTAACTAAATTTCTGTGACAAATATGCTTTTTTTTTTTTTTTTAATACCAAGAACATTAGAGAGTTAATGCAGAGTCCTAAGGATAATCTAGTAGTCACTAAGTTTTTCTTCACTTTAGATGCTGTTATTCCTAGCACAGCTGAGCAGGCACTCTTTCATATGCCCAAACACTGGAGTCTTTGGTTGCTACCCTATCAGCTGGCTTGCAAACAAGAAGCCAACCATTTTAAGAATGTTTTAAGTGAACAACTTGCAAACCCCTAAGAATGCACAATTGTGAGCATGTACGACCATCACAACTGCGACTGAAGACTGTTCATGCCGTTCTTGTGAAATGAGATCGCAAAGCAGTATAGTTCAAAGAAAAAGATTTTAACAAAAAATTGGCATATGCACAATTTCTCCACCAATTTGTGGTGTCAACTATTTAGTTAACTTTTCCACTTGAAAAAATGCAATAGAGCCCTGACTGGTTTGGCTCAGTGGCTAGAACATCGGCCTGCCGACTGAAAGGTCCCAGGTTTAATTCCGGTTAAGGGCATGTACCTTGGTTGCAGGCACATCCCCAGTGGGAGGTATGCAAGGAGGTAGCTGATCGATGTTCCTGACTCTCTATTCCTATCCCTTCCTCTCTGTAAAAAGTCAATAAGATATAATAAAAAAGAAAAGAAAAGAAAAACTGGACACCATGTTTCACTGTCTCAGTTAATATTCACAATGACAGCAGCTACAACTCGGGACACAGCATCACCAGTGCTGCCCAGGGCCAGTTCATACCGAAATTAAGTCCTTTACACCAAACTGAACTGAAATTTCTAGATCTTGGGAGAAACAAATGCTGCTCCGATCATCTGCACTGCTCCTTCTGACCCTTGATTCATGCTTAGGAACCTGTGTGTGTGTGTGTGTGTGTGGGGGGGGGGGGGGGGGGGTTGGGCCTGCTGACCCCGCCCCCTCGAAGAGGCTGCCTCCTGGGCTGTGTTTCCGCTTTCACATTGACCAATCAAACGCGTAGTCGTACTGGTGGTTCAGGGTTCTGAAAAGAACGTGGAACAGCTGCCTCAGGTACGTGTAATCCGGGGCGTCCTCAAAGCGCAGCCCACGACAGTAGTTTAGGTACATGGCAAACTCTGCGGGAAAGCCCTCGCACAGAACTTCCACGGGAGTGGACATCTTCTTCTCACGAATTTTTTCGTATTTCTGTTTCTTTGTGGCAGCCTTCAACCCTTGCCACGGCAGGCTGGTTCTGTTAAAATACATCAGAACGTACCCTAAGGATTCCAAGTCGTCCCGGCGGCTCTGTTCAACGCCAAGATGTGCGCCGACGTTAGCAGCACAGCGGGCGGTGCCTTCTCTGTATGGCAGGTGTGGCCTCGTCCCGTGGTCTCTGTACTTTCTGGCCAAACCAAAATCGATAAGGAATAGCTTATTACAGTGACGCCCAAGACCCAGGAGGAAGTTGTCCGGTTTGATGTCTCTGTGTATGACATTCTTTGCATGCACGTATTCAATCCTGCTGATCATCTGGTCGGCCAGCGCCAGGACGGTTTTCATGGTGAACCTTCTCGAGCAGAAGTTGAAGAGGTCCTCCAGGCTGGGCCCCAGAAGGTCCATGACCAGCACCCCGTAGTGCTCCTCCTGCCCGTACCAGCGGATGTGCGGGATGCCCACGCCGCCCTGCAGGATCTGGTAGAGGTGGCTCTCGCACTGCAGCTGCGGGCGCCGGGCCTTCCGAGGCTCCAGCTTCACGGCCACCTGCTCGCCGCTGGTGATGGTGACCGCCAGGTAGATGTCCCCGGAGGAGCCGGACCCGATCTTCCGCACCAGCTTGTATTTCCCTCCGACGATGAGCTCGGCCTTGGGGCCGCTGCTGCTCGCCATGGTGGGAGGCGGAGGCGGAGGCGGAGGCGGAGGCCCAGCCCCGGACGCCTCGGGGAGGAGGACGCGGGCCTCGGGGCTGGTCCCGGAGCTGGGCTGCGGGGGAGGCGGCAGGGAACTCAGCACGTCGGCGGCTTCAGGGGTCACCGGGCCCCGAATCCTCCGCCGAGGGGAAACCGATGGCCGCCGTCCAGTCCGGTTCCTTTTTGTCAGGTGAGCGGGCTGGGCCCCTGTGTCCCCGCGACGTCGCGGGCTGGAAAAGGGGTGCGGAGAGGTAGGGGTGCCACCGCTGCCTCCCCCCCGCCGCCGGCTCCCGCCAGGAGGGACCCTGTCACTCCGCCGCCGCCATCTTGTTACTCCAGCTCACAGGAACCCCTGTCACTCCGCGGCCATCCTGTTACTCCCGCCCGCAGGGACCCTGTCACTCCTCCGCCGCCATCTTGTTACTCCCGCCCGCAGGGACCCTGTCACTCCTCCGCCGCCATCTTGTTACTCCCGCCCGCAGGGACCCGTCACTCCGCCGCCGCCATCTTGTTACTCCCGCCCACAGGGACCCCTGTGACTCTGCCGCCGCCATCTTGTTACTCCAGCTCACAGGAACCCCTGTCTCTCCGCCGCCGCCGCCATCTTGTTACTCCCGCCCGCAGGGACCCTGTCACTCCGCCGCCATCTTGTTACTCTGGCTCACAGGGACCCTGTCACTCCGCTACCGCCATCTTGTTACTACCACCCGCAGGGCCCCGTCACTCCGCCGCCATCTTGTTACTCCCGCCCACAGGGACCCTGTCACTCCGCCGCTGCTGCCATCTTGTTACTCTGGCTCCAGCCAACGCGGAATGCCCAGCTCCCGGGACCGCTACTTCAGAGCACTCTGGGAAAGTTAATAAGGAATATTTTTTTATGGCGCAGAGCACTCTGGGAAAGTTAATAAGAAGGAATATATTTTCACGGCGCAGAGCGCTCTGGGAAAGGTAATAAGGAATATTTTTTCACGGCGCAGAGCACTCTGGGAAAGTTAATAAGGAATATTTTTTCACGGCGCAGAGCACTCTGGGAAAGTTAAGAAGGAATATATTTTCACAGCGCAGAGCACTCTGGGAAAGTTAATAAGAATGAATATTTTTTTCCCAGCACAAAGCACTCTGGGAAAGTTAATAAAAATGAGTATTTTTTTTTCACGGTGCAGAGCACTCTGGGAAAGTTAATAAAAATGAATATTTTTTTCTTGAATGTTCACTTACCAGACACTGAATAACTTCACACATTAATAAGTGTAATGTAAATTAACCTATTTTTCTTGTTCTCTGAAACCAAAGCATTCCCTGGTGCGCACATAAACAAGTCCATCCAGGACTAATGACGTGCATGGCCTTCGGCTGCTACAATATTCGCTGCTGGTATTAGTGGGGAGAAATGGCGCGCCTGTGTGTAAGGCACGTAAGGGAAATGAATGCAACACGATTATAGTCATCAGTCATTAGCGAACGTTGTAGTTCGTTATTAATAATTATGAGTAACAGGACATTGTAAAAATTAAGCTATGAAATTTTTATTAAAACGATTCTTACATTCTGTTACATTGGCTGGGCCGCAAAAATATTCCTTGTGGGCCGCCAGTTTGACATGCTTGCTGCACGGACCGCCCCACGCCAGAGGCACTGACCCCAAACACGAACTGTGCTGAGGTTTAAACACTGTGGCGTGGGTCCTTCTTTCAGGAGGATGGCAAATGGCTGAGATTCTGGTTCTATCATTCCTTCTGCATTTATTGACCAAGACTCTCCTGCAAACCAGGACTTCCCCCATTGATGATTCAGTTACTCCAGGAAACAATTCATATGGGGCTCATACCAAAAAGAAAAGTGCCTGATTCTTTATTGACCCATTCAGAATAGTTAGCTAACCTGCATCCTCCTAAAATCAATACATTTTTGTTAGTATAATCATAGGAATTTAAAAAAACTTCTTTCATGCCTTTCAATCCATGGCAGCAATGATTCTTTTGGAAGGTCAAGCCCTTTCATCTTTGGCCAGTGAGGACGCCTTCAGTGGCCCTTGCCATCATCCCAGGGTTCTAACGGCTTCTTCGCTTCCTGGTGTGAGAGGATGCTCCCACCCCCAACCTGGGACCCGTCCTTTGTCCCAGAGCCCCATCCTGTGTGTGTAGAATGTCAGGACAGGACCGAATGAGGGTTAAAGAGATGATGCACACACAGCTCTAAGCATGGGGCCTGGGGCATAGTAAGGGCTCACTGAATGCTGCGGTGACTTTTGAGAACAGAAATGAACTCCTCCCAGCTGCTTTCTCAGCCTCTGGTGCTGTCTGACTCTCGGTGTCAGCACCGCCAAATGCCCCCGGGGAGTTGGGGGGGGGGATGCTGGGTGAATGAGGGTTCAGGTTGGCCGGGGAGGGCTGGGTGTACGGCTTTGTTGGGTGGAGGGACCTGCCAGCCAAGAGAGCACTAGTCCATTAGGGAGAAGCCAGGTTAAGCCCACAGGAGAGAGGAGCAATTAGTTAATTCAGGAGTCAAGGCCTTGCTTTTGTTTTCATTGTCGATTTTAATCCTTCAGTCACCTTTGACCTAAGCCCCGAGGCAATTAGTGCCTGCTGGGGGAGTGGTGGTGGGTTTGAAGTCCTCCGCCTTCCTCCCCAGGCTGAGTCAATACCTTTGTATTCTATTACAGGTAATTGAGGTAAAAGGGTTTATTTAAGCTAACAGATGATTATTTCCCACAATAGAGCCTTGCAACCCAGTTAGTGAATTGGCTCTTCCAGGCATCCTATGTTTTGTCTGCAACCAAAGCCTGTGTTTTATTGACTGCTTTGTCCTCTTCTCCCTTTCCCCCTTCCTCCTGTTTCATCCTACCCCTCCCACTCGCCCTCACAATTCAATTCAATAAATTTAGTGTAACTGGCACTTACAAGGCACCAGTTAGTCAGGCCCTCAGGTCCATCCCAGTAGGCTCTCATAGCCTAGTGACAAAAACAGACTTATAAACAGGTAAATTATAAATTACTAGAGGCACTGGGGTGGGGGGAGGGGAGGGTCCCTCAGTCTGGCCTTCACCCTCTTCCAGTCAGGGACCCCTCAAGGGATGTCTGCCTGCCCGCTTAGGCCCAATCCCCTTGGGCAGTGAGACATCCCTCTGGCATTGCATTCTGGGGCTCTTGCAGTCCAGGACCCCTTGCTCCTTACCACCTCCCACCACCGCTTTGCGTTTGCCAGCCATGAGCCCGGTTTTGGCATCTGCCCCCTGGTGGTCAGTGTTCATCATAGTGACTGGTTGTTCCACCATTCGGTCTATTTGCATATTAGGGTTTTATTATATAGGATACTGGATATGATAAGTGCAAAGTAATTCAATGATTCCAGACAAAGAAGGTGGATGGTGTGGAGTGATCTTTGTGCAGAAGAGTCTAGAAGGGGAGCCAAGACTAAGACATTTGAAAATCGAACATGAAGCTTCCATGAACAAAAGAGGGGTTGTATCCATGTGGCCTGAAAGGGTAGTTATTTAAGAGAATGTGCCAGACTTTTCACTACAGAATGCAGATTTGGTTCAAGTCCCCTGCTTCCCTGTGGGGTCATGTAGTTAAGAAAAGCCTTATGTCAGCAAGTCTTGATCCTTCAAAACCAATCATGCTAATTTCATCCCCCTGCAAAGTGATTGACTTAAAAGGGGCCATGTGACTCTATTCTGGCCAATGAGCTATAAGGAGAAGTCTGTGGGCGCTGGTGATTGGTGGACATGTTTCTAGGGTAGTTTTTTTTTTTTTTTTAACTCTTAAAAAATAGACACGAGAAAGTCATGATCCCTTTCCTGAGTCTGGAATTTGGTGAGGATGTGATGGTCGGAGCTGTTGCAGGCTTTTTGCCCCCACGATGAGTGCTAGCTGCTGCGCTGAGGATGGCAGAGCAAAGAGATAGAAGGAACCTGGGTCTTTGATGCCACAGCTCAGCTGCTGAATTAGCCATAAGGGGGCCTTCCTGACTTGAGACTTCTCACCGTCTGAAGTCACAACAGTTTATTGTGTTTAAGTCTCTTTCGTTTGCATTTTCTGTTATGTGTTGCTACAAGTTTCCCAACTGGTACAGAAGGAGGTAGAGATGAATGAGTCATAAAGAGAAGGGATACAGCCCTGATGAAGGAGCTGAGAAACAGGTAGTGTTCACAGGGTGGGGAGGACTGTCAGTATAGACAGTCTAGTTCTGAGGTGAGGTCAGATAGGGCTCAGCCAGGTTAGGCACCATCCACTCCCCCCCCACCCCCCCACTCTGTCTGCCTCCGTCCATCCCTCATTCCCGGGAGGGGCTTCTTTAGTCAGGCTCCTCTCCGAATGAGCCTGCCAGGGAGACGTAACCTGAGCCTGGAGAGAAACTGTTCAATGGGGATACTCTCTGCCAGGCCCTGAAACGCACAGAATGCGGTCCCCTGTGAACAGAGGCCCCAGTCCAGGCACAGGGACAAAAACATAAGCCGAGGTTTCTAAACATGTGATCAGTCTCAGGTGAGAGGGTTGTACATGGTTCAGGAGCTAAGATTTAGTTTTTATTGGAGCAGTTATGCGGTTATTTTGATAATTAATCTCTTTGTATGGCAGACATATAAAGTTTCCTTTTCAATATATTTAAGCAAAGAAAAAAGGGGTTAACTTAAGGAAAACTAGTTGGTAATATCATAGGCAGTATGTGAATATGGTAAAACTTGTGCAGTGGGCATGTGTGTGTGTGTGTGTGTGTGTGTGTGATATGCTTGTGCCCAGTTCATAGGAGAACAGGTTTCTGTTCTTTTAGGAATGACTGTTTCTGCATTTTTTGTGATTTCGCTGGGAGACGCTGTGTACATACATGACTTTCCCTATTCCCTCCATAATTAGTCGGTCCCAGCTGTTCCCCGAGGATTCTTCAAACCATGAAAAGCCCCTGTCCAGTGGCAGATGCTATGAGACGAGGCTTGGGAGCCTTTGTCTTGTTCCTTCCTCTACCAAGGTTCTGAAGTGA